CGCTACCAGGGCAAGGAGGAGGTGGTGTGAGGCCGCCCGCTCTACTGCGGCCCAGATCGGTGCGGGGATCCCTCCCGAGCCCTTCCTGCCGCCCCCGCCCCGTGCCGGTGCGCCCCTGCACCCTCTCCCTGTCTGTGTTTCCACTGTCCGCGCCCTGGATCCCCGACGTTCAGTTCCAGTCCGACTGCTGCACCGCAGCTTAGCCCAGACACCAGCTTCCAGGGACCAGCGCAGCTATCCGAGGCGCTGGCGCACACACTCAGATGGGCCGCCCCAGGAGAAGTCTGGAAGGCCCTTTCCCCATTCCTTGTCCTGAGCTAGACGTGGACAGGCGCCGCCGCGTAGATCCGGCGGAGGCTCCCAAATTGGAACCAGTCTTTGGACTGCGCCTCTGTCCCCTCCCTCCTGCCCTGCAGTGGAAAGAGCATCCCTTCCCTGCCCCCTCTTCCAGCCTGGGGTGGTGTAGAATGCAGTCAGGCAATTGCAAGTGGAGCTGGGGACAAGCCTTAGCTGGTGCTGGAATGAGTGACGTCTTTAGTTGTAGTTTGGATCTCTCCCTGCGCAGCCCTACCTACATCATCGAAGTTTTTGGGTGGGGCCAGCTGCAGGAGTGGTGGATAGCAAAGGCCCGCTGGCTGTACCTTACTAAACAACGCAAGTCTCTCCGCATTTATCCTTGGGGTTCATTCAGACCAGGCCAAATGTGCTAACTTCTCTGGCCTTTCAGATGTCACTCACCAGCTTCTGCTGCACCCCACCCTTAAATATGTTTGTATTAGGGATCCTGCGGGACCAACAGCGATTATTAAGATGATGCCCATCCCTTTGGGGGCCCAGAGCCTGCTCCTGGGAACAGCCATTTTAAGATAAGAGCCACATTTTTTCCTCTAAAGCAGTAGGTTGTCTAGGAACCCACTCAGGTACTACCTCCAAAAAGAAGGCTTAGAATGCAAATGGGCCTGTCAATGGTGCATGTTCAGTGTTGGGTAGCATAATGAGGTCTCTGAGAAATCCCGCAGGTACACGCCCACACATGGTCACTACTGGGCCCCAGCCATTCGCACCCCAAGACTGCCCCATGCTGTGAGGGCTATTCCCACAGTTTGACCATTGAAGATTGGGAAGCTCCTCTTTCCCTGGGAGTTTCTCTGACTGGGGCGGGGGTGGGGGTGTCCACCCAATGACAAAAGAGCTCGATGGCCTTCACCAGCCGGAGGCCCGAGAACTGTTGGATGTTCTTTCACATGGTTGGATAAATGAAGCTAAGGATATCCAGGTGGTCTCCCAGTCTAAAGGACAGTCACTTGCAAGAGATCCTGGCATTGACTCTGAGCAGCTGGTGGGGTGAGCTCTGCCACCAAATTGAGAGTTCTCTGGACCTGGGGTGGACAGCAGGTGCCACCTCTAAGGTAAGACATTTTGGATAACCGGGGGTGCCATAGGCCTGTGGATAGAAAGCATGTCGCCACCTCCCTTTCCAGAAATTAAAGTGATTTTTACTCAAAACAAGTAGGAAGAATGACAGTGATAGCCACAGAAGTTGTGAAAATTCACTGTTTTCACTAATTCCGTCAAAGGTCAAAGCTTTGTCTGGAAACACAAGGACATAGAACACTACTTGTTAGAGCCCAGCGCTCCTGCCATGTGGGGGAATCATCTGTCAGGGAGCCGCATGCAGCCCCTGCAGGTGCATTTTCAAACTTCAGTGTGGAGGTGTTGGGTTTGTCTGCTGTCCTCATGAAGGCAGTGCTTGGAGTAGAGTATATGTTTTATGTAGCACTTACTGTGTGGATATACTACTTGAATGCATGCATTCTCTGTATAGTACTGTGAGATCGATGCCCAAAGTCTCCTTGGTAATGAATAAAGGAGGTTGGCTTTGATCCCTGACAGGCCAGCTTCTTCCACAATATGGGTCAATACATATTAGATACGAGTAATTTTTTTCTGGGGCTAAGGGTGTGGCTTAGTAGTAGAATAAAGAACAGTTTATGAGGCCCTTGGTTCACGACCCAGCGTCAGAAATATTTTTTCCTAAGTTGGTAAAATGTGCATGACCTAATATTTACCCTTGTAAGCAACTTTAAGGGCAGTTTGGTGACAGTAAGGACAGTCACACAGCTATGCATCCATCACCACCATGTACCTCCAGAACTGTTTTCATCTTGCAAAACATTCTGTATCCACTAGGATTATGAGAGTTTGAGTTGGGTATGCTCCCACGGGTATGTAATCCTAGAGTGTTGGAGGTTATGGAGGGTGGATTATGAGTTCAAGGCCAGCCTGGGCTACAATAGTGAGTTCCAGGCCAACCCCAGTCATATGGTAAGACTCTATCCTCTAAACAAACAAAACAACAAAAAAGTTTGGGGGATTTTTGCTGTTTTTTGTTTTTGTTTTTGTTTTTCCCTCTCTGGGGAATCCCAGAACACAACCTCCAATGTTCTTCATTGTCTTAGGCTAGCTTTACTGCCATGTTCCTCTGATGTTCTCACTGACTTGGGTTAGCTCTACTGCCATGCTCCACAAAGTGTGACTTTCCCTCCAACCATAGACAGTGACAGTCTTTGCCTGAGGTAGGCTTTGCTGGGACACCTTGATAGCCAGTGACTTTTGTTCCTTTGTTGCAGGTTTCCAGGTAGCTGAGGCCTCAAAGACTCCCAGAGTGGTCAAACTGCCACAGCCCTGCCTGCTTGGCTGCATTGGTCTACCTGGGAGTCTCCGCTGCCGTGGGGCAGGTGGGGAGCAAGAAGTCTCTCCTTCCACACTGTCTGGTGGAAGAGCCATGGTGGGGAAGACTGATTCCTTCCTTGATGCTAGAGGATTCCCTATTTTCCTACATTACAATTTTGGGCACAGTATTCTGAACACTTGGGGTGGATCTTTGCCTGTCTCCAATTCCCTAAATGATGGGTCTCAATTCCAGCTTGCATTTTTTACCTGCTTGTTTTTTGTAGATCGATAAGCTCAGGTCCAGTTCCCTGAGGAGCTCAGCCCCAGTGCTCCAGACCTGTGGTCAGGTGACCTTGCTCAGGGTCACACATCCTGGCCCTGATGGTGCCTCATCTACCCAGATGTGCTTGTAGCATTCCAGAGCTCACTAGCTCTTCCTGATGTGCCTTCCAGCTTGGCTTCCAGCAGCCTTGTGGTCCTTCAGTCTGCCAAATGTGAGAAGGACGGATGAGACTGCTGTGCCACCCTCCTTCCATCAAAAGCCATACAATGATCACCTGATGTGGCCCAGAGCATTTGGATACTGGCAGTAGTCTCCTCGGCTTACTTCTCTGACACCAGGACTGGGGCCAAGCCAAGACCACCCAGACAGCTCCCAAGCAAAGTCTGGGGCCCCTTGTGGGCCCAGGAGACAAATCCAACAGTGTGCACAAAGGCCAAGCAGGGGTGGATTTTGGTATAGGGAGGGTGGCTAGAGGGAGGAGCCATGTGCCTTTTCCAGCAATGTAGTCATGGTTACCCCAGGATGCCTTTGGAATAAAGTTTGGTTTGTCTGATCTTGTGTTTTTGTCTTACATCCTAGTCCTCTGCGGTAACTTTCAGCTGGGTTCCCCCAGCAACCCACCCTTGCCTTCTAGGAGGGAAGGGAAAATGAGCTCACAGGTTTCCACTTTGGTTAGTAGAGGCCTGAGGGCAGGATCCAGAGAGAAACACT